TTAAGCCACTCGCCTGAAAGGTAGGAAACCCATCTTCTAAATCCTTTCTCCTCAGCAGGCAGAGGGGAGAATTGAACTGGGATCTCCCACATCTCATGAGAATGATAGAAGCAGTAGCATATAAGGAAGTCCTTCCCTCCCCACTTTTTTGTGTAGAGTTAGGCATGCTATGAGGACACTTGACAGATTTGGCCCTCCAGGCAAGATAGGTGGGGCAACACCTAGTTTCACCTGCTTTGAGATTGGTGCCCAGACTGAAGCATTTTCCAGAGGCAGAAATGTAGGTGCCTAGGTGACTTTTAGAGCAAAAATGTAGACACCATGGTATTAGAGGCCCCTCCAGTGTTAGGTGGCAGATGAGCAGAAGTTTTGATGATCTCAGTGGGGCCTAAAATGAGAAGTTCAGTGCCTAAGGCATTTTGTAGATCTGGGTCTGCAAATGGCTGGTCATTGCAATCTATCAGTCAGGTATTTCCTAAAACCAATACCCACTTTACTGTAGCTGAGAAACAGTGAGTCCACATGTGAATTACTATCAGTTGAGGTTGAAACCAAGTGGGAGTGAATTGGATAGAGAGATTAATTTCAGCAGAAAATACCAACATGTATTCTTAAACTAGGAGCAACTGTCAAAGTAAAACTGTGTTCAAGAAAAACTAGAGAGAGAGAGAGAGAGAGAGAGAGACTTAGTAGAAACTGCATTTTGAATTTTTTTCGTTGTTATAGGCTTCTGAAGAAAGCTGTGCTGCTTTATCTAGTAAAATCCTTGCACCACAGAGAAGTTGTATAAATTCAAGTTGCATGCTTAAGAAGTAATGGATTTCCAAGTTCAGTTTTGCCTGGTGGGAAGATCAGAATAGAGGGGAAATGCAGGGTGTGATCATTGCCACACAATCTACATCTGGTTTGATGGAAAACAGAAAAAAAACGGGAAAGTTATCTATAGATATATACCCACATTCACAAACAAGACAGATTGACAAAGCCTCTATTGGAATTCAAAGCCTCCTATTGAAATTCAAAGCAATGACATTATCACAGATTTGTCCATTAAATATACTGATAGCCATGCAGTCATTGCACCAGGGTCCCAAGTGTACCACACATTTCCCATTGATCTAAAGCTACTGACTATTGCAGCCGTATATATTTTAGCTGACCAAGGAATCCCAGAACATTATGCCTTTTGGAAAAAGTGTTGACTTGTTCACATTCTCACACATACAGTGGGGTAAGTGCCAGGCCTGGCAAAACCAAACCGAGCATCCTACACCAATCTAGTCATATCTACAATCACAGTTAGCAAAACGTGAAGGACAAATGTGATGTATGTTGCACTATAATTTACCCTTTTGTTTCCTGCATACTTCAACTTAAAATTTCTAGGACTTTGAAAGCAATTCCCATTTTGTGTTCAGTTCAGGCACTGATTTAGTGAGTCGGTTTCTCTTTCATAGATATTTTATTAATAAGTCACCTAGTCTAGTCTAAATACATGTATTTTGGCCTGTGTGTACATTAAAAAAAATATAGAAACATGTTGCTTTGAGGAAAACTTAGTTGTAACATCCCTGCTTCAAACTCCCACTTTTTCCATTCTCAGCATGTGCGTGCATTTATACAAGTTTTATTGCACTTCATTTAACTTTACTAAAAAGAGAAAAATTATTATATGGGGGTGAAAAATATATATTGTCATGCTTGTAGTAGGTACAATCTATAGAAATTTGATCCAATGTATAGCAGCATAGTCTCTCCTCATTTCTTAGACAGCCAAGAGATGATTTTAGGTACCTTATTACTTGCAATAATGAAAAAAAATCAGACAATATTTATCCATTATAAACATTTGATCATCACTAACTCTAGTTTCTAATCTCCAAGTCCTCTTAATTTAACTGTTAAACAATTTGGGATTTGTTTGTTAGCCATAACGGATTTTTTTTCCATATATTAAATATTAATTCTGTAACCTAGATTAAAACATGTAAATGCCACATCACGGTATATAATTGTATTAAGGAACACAGGGGATTCAAAGTTAGATTTAATGATGGCTAGGATTTAAATACATATATGTGCACACAATCTCAGCCACAAAATTGGTATTTTGAGAGATTTTTAACTGGCCTTCCTGTTTAAAATCCAAGAATACCTCATATAAAGATTAATCCCTTTCACAAATTCTGGAACATAATTATATTCATACTATTACATGCGTGATCATGCAGTTTAAAATCTGCTTTAAGGTTAGAACACTTCTACAAAAAGGTTACAAAAATATGGAAACCCTGAAACTATGCCATTCACTTAAATAATAAAGGAACTAAGGTTTCAACAGAAGGAAAAAGTGTTCTTTGAAATAAATAAAGGGGTAAATAAATGGTGTTTCTCAAGGAGTTAAAGTATATATTGTAAAGCTGTCAGCTCTTGAAATAATCTTTGTAACTGCAGATGATACATTATTAAACATTAGGAGTACTCCGCCTGTATCAAAAGAAAGCACAAGGCAGCTCAGAAATCCCTAAATCCTTTAGATTTTACTATAAATACAACATATAGTAAATATCGGTGAACGCCAACTAAGAGTCTGTATCCAATTAGCTTATCTGCCTTGCTTGCCACACCATTAATCTTCTTACTTAGCAGCAGATCATGGTGTTCAATTACCTGAAGTGCTTTTAGTGTGTTCAATAGATGATAAAAATAACTAAATATTGATAGTACATAAAAAATAACCAAATATTGGAGCAGGTTAATCACCTATCCAGTCAGGGATATGTAAGAGCAGGAGGTGAACAAGTAGCCCTATTTGTACCAGTGTATCAGATTCATGATGACCCGATTACTGTTTATGAAATGGTAACATATAGAGGTTTTTTTTCCAAACATTTATTCCATTAGTCACAGCCTAAACCAATACAACATTCATTATTCACAGATGTCAATAGTTACTAACAGGTTCCCAAAGGCATTTTCCTCATAGTATCTATTACATTCATTTCTTGTTCATTTTAATTATAAATTAAAAGCAGCACAAATATTATAATCAAAAAGAGCTAAAACACTGCTACTTACTGAAACCTTTTAAAAAGAAAAGCATGTAAGTCTGCAGAAATGCTTCACAGAGTGCCTGTTTTTCCCTTTAATGAATGTAACACGTTTTAATTGTATTATATTACAGATGGTAAAAACCTACAAGAAAAAAAAAATCAAAATAGACCTTTATAAAGGTTAAAAAAAAAAAAAATAAGAGGACTTCAGTTTCATAATGAAGTACCAGGAGTTCTGCAAGAGGTTCAGTCTCCAGGTGTGATTCTGATGTGGCAATCCATTAGGATTTGTACAAACCCCAGTTTAATCCACTGAAAGAACAAATAGTCTTCCTTAGCTGATTCATGTTCTTATATTTTTTTCCTCCTTAAAAATTCTCTGTTATTAGACAAATAGAAAAAAGAATGTGGCCAGAATCTCAGATGCAAAAGATAAAGCTATAATCCAGATTGTATAATTAATCCAGTGAAAATGGTTTATATATTTATAATTTAATGGTTGCAATTTACCACATGTAAGAGTTAATGTGGTCTGAAGCCTCTGCTAGAAGTATTTGGCTTTTTTTGGAGTAAGGGGGAGGGAAAGTCATCTGACTTGTTAAACCAGAAAATGCATGTTAATAAAGAGGGCACTTCTAAATTTCCACTTCATTGAAAATCTGAGAACCGTGGCTCCTATCCCACAATGAGAGTCACATAAATGGACTTCTGAGCACATGTGACTGATGGGGCTCCACATGGGCACAGGAGTCTGACTAGATGGGTCTCACTGCAGGATCAAAGCCTGTATATTGATTGATGAACATTACTATTATTTGTATTATGGTTGCACCTAGAGGCCCCAACCATGATCATGGTCCATTGTACTAGCCACTGTAGAAACATATAGTAGGAGACAGACCCTGCCCCAAATACTTTACATGAGTGTTCATCTATATAAAATTTATTTTTTCAATATTTTGATCTAGTATTTTAAAAATATATATTTCCTTTATGGAAACATCCTGAAGAATTTAATAGGGACTAAACCAATGAGGTTCGAAAGGTGTCCAATATGGTTATGTGGAAATTGCTGAATTTATTTAATTTTTTAGAGAATGATATCCTTTTTATAGGGTTTTTTAAGTCATCCTATATAATTTATAATATGGATATAACTTTCTTTTAAAATCTATTAGGTCCAAACACCAATTTAAAAATCACCATCTATTAAAATCTGTAGTACTGTCTCAAAAATCTTGATCTGTTCAAAATTATCACCAAAAGCTTTTCTATAAAATAGTACTGGTTGGGATTTCGTTTGGAAATATTTTTACCTTTCTTTATTAATCTGAAATATGCAGCTCTCTTTAGCTGAAAGGCATAAACTTGCTAAAAATGAGCACCAAGTTCAAAGGACACCTTACACTGTTTAATGTCACTTGTTAGATGAATGCATCAGGATTGCAGAGGGAATTAATTCTGGAGAACTCATGTAATCCACTGTGTAGAAGGTGCAGCACTAGGATGATTGGCCAATTAACCTTTTTCATTTCCCAGTTAGACTCTAAATGCCTTTATGACTAAACTTGACTGTAAATGCAAAATTATAAATTAATGGTAAATACTCCAGGTGTAATATAAAACATAGGACATTGCTTTGCCCCAGCCAGGAGACAGGCACTATTCCTCCATATACATTTATGTAGAAACTTAAAGTCTCTGCATAATTTTTAACGATTAAGCTAGAAGTCACTAATTCTAGGATATAAAACAAAAGTAATAATGGCAAGAAAAGCAGCCACTGGAACAGCCTGTCCATGTAGGGAGTTGCTTCAAGGCATTAACCAGAACTAAACCCTGATTAAATGTCTAATTGGCTTGAACAGTAGTGGCAAGAAAAGCCATGGGCTGTCCCTATTGACAGTAAAAGAGCAGCAGAAGTATCAAAACAGTCTCATGGGCAAGATGTTTAATAAACTGAAAGCAAGATTCACCAAAGTGAAGCCAAAACCAGAGGAGGAAAAGTCCAAGGATGAAGAGGCCCCTCCTAACCCACCACCCCAACAGCCGCCACCCACAGGGCAGGTAGAGTATTTAATCTTACACAGATCCTTTAATATTATGTCTGTGCTTAGAAATCACTGATTTAATTAGATGTAGCAAAGTAACTTAGTAACATTCTTCATATATCATTTGGCTATGTCTTACAAAAATAGTTCCAGTTGAAATCTATAGAAAAGCTACCTTTTCGTTCCATTATAAAGAATAAATATTGGTTTAAAGTATTAACTCACTTGTGCACTATACATTAATGGAAAATTTAAAAACTCAAGGCTATCTAAGGCCAAAAAGCATTCATTTACTTGTCTTTTTTAAATGAGGATTTTTAGTATCCAGAATTTGCTGTAACCTGCCATAACTCATAATTTCACAGGGCAAGTCATTGGGATATTGGTAACCAAAGCAAAACAAATTGTTTACAATCAGTCCAGTGCCTTTAATCTTAATTGCTGCTTTGGGAGCAAAGGAAATTCTTCCTTTATTACTTTAATTAAATGACTGTTTAACATCAAGAATCCTATTCAGGGAACTCATTTTCTCCCACAAATAAAAATGTCTGCCCAAGTATACAAAACACTGGCAAACCACAATATTATTTATCACTCTAGGATGTGCCGTGTCACCTCCACAAGGTCACAACCTGACCAGTGTTGAAAGCCAGCACTAGGCATAAGCGGATTAATCAATTGCTTAGGGCCCTGAGCAGCTCATGGGGGGCCCCCTATTCACTGCTTTAGTATGTGTTGGGGGGAGGGAAATATTCTGGTTTACGGCCCCCAATCAGCTAGCACCACCTCTGCCAGTGTTAACCATCTCTATGACATCCCTTCTGGTAGCACTGCTATAGGGGACGCACCTGCAGGCCTCCTAACAACTTTATAGTTTTGACTAAAATGGACGCTAACTGGAATGTTCAAAGATGGAAGGATATCCGGAAAATGAGGTTCGTTTATTTAATGTTCTTGAAATTGTACCCATCTGGGTAAGTGGCAAATTTTGATCAGCCCAACCTGTATTTTATCTTGACCTCCAATCAGCACAAGCATGTTAAAAAGTGGAATAATTTTCTGTTTCAGGGATGCACAACGGACCTGGGCCCTAATTGATATAACATGCTAAAAATACATATTCAGAGAGCTCTGCATATGTTCTGCACTTGTGCTCATATATCCCCCCAATGGGATGTGTTTGATCAAAAGTGGCAAGATACAGCATAGCCAAGGCCATGTGTACACCACTTAAACTGGGTATAAATTGTAAGACAAGAGTCCTGAATTCTGTGGCACTCTGATCTGGTCCACAGGATATTCTGCAGCCCAGCTGCCTTAGACTCCCCAGCCCTCAAGTATCTTGTCTCATCTTCAGGATTGATGAGGCAGCCTGCTCCTCTATTCTGGCATTTGGTTTCCTCTTGGGGTAGGGTAGTAGTCCACCTCTCTGGAAGTCCTCTTTTGGCAACAGATGTGCCGCCAGTGCCACATTACGTAAGCTCTCCACTTTGATCCACTGATTTTCTACTGTTCAGTTACAAAAGGCCCTACAGAACCTAAATTGTAGAGTGTATCACGTATTGCAAAGTCTCTTAGATATTCCTCCCTCTGATCCCACAGGAACTGCTTAACTGGTAGGAATACATACCAATTCATATACTATTTGGATAGGCAATACACTTTAGGAATTTTATATAAAAATGTAGAGGTGCATCCATCACTATTATTATCCTGATAACTCAATTATTTTATATCCTGCTGGGATAGTGGTCATGCCGAGTTATACGTATTACCAGCAGCTGTGGATAATAATGACCTGTATTTTATACTGAGATTTGCCCGAGGGATTGTTTTTTGTGTCCCTCCACCCCCAAGCTGATTTTGCTTTCAGGAGCAGTGCTACTGCACCTTTAATTGACCTGAAGAATGGACAAGGTTGTTTGTGTTGCACCTTCATTTTTCTATTTCTGATATTGGTAGCCACTAGATTTCTTATAAACAGGTCTGAAAAGTTTCTTCTGACTGATACTTACCTGGGGAAAGGTTTGCACTGCAGGAAGGCGCTAATGATGTTTCCAGCAATACAGGTCAGGCTGATTTCTCTAAAGATAGAGCAGGCAGCCTTACCCTGCTCTGGGATTGATAGGAGGAGGAGCTAGAGGGAAAATTCCAGAGTCCACACCAAACAAAGAAGGAGTTATTTTAAAAAAAAAGTAATGAGAAATTGTAAAATGCTCATGGTGAGAGAACTAGTCTATACATACTAAGAGTGAGTACGAAGAAGGAAAGCACCCAGTTACTGCCTTTCTACACTTAAGACTACCTACAGAAAATGAAGGTGTGTATATAGCAACTGTGTGAGTTTGAACATTGCCCATGTGTTTTTTGTTTTACTTTCTGCTCTTCCGTTTACTCACATCAATTCTATCACTTTTCATTCAAGAAACTGAGTTTCCTCATAATCTGGCATATTACAACTGGCACATCTGTTCTTAGTATAAATCTTTTTTTCCTATCTACATACTTAAATGGCCTCTCATAAAGAGGACCCACCTGGAGCACCCTCCTTCAACAAGACACACCATGTGCATCTGCCTCAGTTTCCCCAGAGTCCAACCATAAAAAGAGCACAGCCTCTTTCACTGTTCGATACAAAGGCCCATCTCTGAGCATGGTTTATTCATTTACACACACAATAGTCTGTACAAGTAAAGGTACAGATGTCCAGGGACATCACTTCCAGGTCACTCACCCATGAGACCACCAGCACTCAATTCCCAATTCCTTCCCACCCTTGTTCCAGGGACCCTCATTTGCCAAGCCACCCATCTGAGAGTACCCAGTCTCATGACTCTTCTGCTCAAAACACAGTCCAAAGACTCAGCCCTTTTCAGCCACCCTGAGTGGACTCACTAGCTTAGGAAGGTCAGCAAGCTCGCCCTTCAGTTGGCCTCCTAGCCTTGCCCTTTTCAGCTATCCTGCACTGGCTCCCTAGCTCTGGAAGGTCAGCAGGCCAGCCCCTCCAACATCCGTCAATTCCTCCCTCTTCCCAGGGCGGGCCTGCAAAGTTTTCTGCTCTCTACAGACTGTCTCTCCCCAGCAGCTCTCAACTGCCATTTTCCTTGTTCCTGCAGTCTGTGCTCTCAGCCAACTAACTCTCCAGATCTCTGTCCCCTCTCAGGCCCACGTGCCCTCTTTTAAGCCTAACTGGGAGGCAGATGATGAGTCACAGGTGAATTGGACCTCACTGCCTCTTCTTAAAGGGCCGGTGTCACCCTGTGACACAGCCCTTATCACCAATGACCCAAAATTACTCTATACACACAACCAGTCCTACACACAGGCAAAGTATCTTCTGATGTGTCCACACTTCTGCCTAGTACTATCCATAACCTGTACTTCCAACTCCATCTGGAAAGATGGATTGAGTGATCCAGGTTGCAAGCTGATAGATGAATCAAAGACCAAAGCATACTGTTCATGCAAACTCTATAAAGGAAAACCATGTAAAAAGGTAAAAGAAGATGGAATGTGTGAATAATATTTGGGTAACATTTTACATCTTCAGAGCATTGCACAAGTATTAACTGACATGACTGTATTCGGGGCTCACATGAGCAAAAGCCTAAAACAGAATAAACAACCTGTACAGCAAAAGACTGTATAGCTAAACTTAGCAACTGAGAAGCAAACAAAATATTCCCAGGTTCTGCTATACACCCACACTACCCTGAGAATGCACAGATTCTCTAGAATTGCAATTGTACATGTTTGTTTGTTTCCCAAGATCTCAGAATCAAACTCTCAGAATACAAAGATCCTGTGATCAAAGTTAGGGAAGAACAAACACTCAGAGTAAAATAAGAACCAATCCAACCTTTCATCGAAAACTCAAAACAAACCCAAAATTAATGTAAAAAGTTAACTTTTTCAAAACAAAACAAAACCTTTTCATTTTCATATGCCCTGTGGTGCCTAGCTTTTTGTTCCCCCCTCTTGCCTCCCTCCTCCCAAAAAAAGCCCAAGCCCTTACCTATAGCTGTTTTAAGTTCTACTCTCTTGCTCATCCAAATTTAGTATTTTTTGATGATCACGTAAAATATCAGTAATTTTTTCATCATCAATCACTGTGATAAATAGCGAACAAGTCAGCTTTGTGCCTGGGATGGTAAACATTTGTGATGTCTTGCAAGAAAACTTAAGGATTCATATTTTAAAAAATGGATGAGGGCAGGAATCATTGGGCAGCCACCAACTTTCCCTACTGCAGTAGAATAGCCCAACATAGTTAATGAAGATACTTCCTGTTAACTGAATAATAACTGTGTCCTTGGACAAACACTTCAGTGTTAAATATATTTATCCCTGGATACAATCTATTTTATATGGTCCCTGTCACCAAAATATCTGAGTGCCTCACAGTCTTTAATGTGTTTATCCTCACAATACCTCTGTGAAGTAGGGAAGTACTAGTATCCCCATTTTGCAGAGGGGAAACTGAGGCACAGACAGACTGTGGACATGTCTACACTAGAGCTGGAAGGTGTAATTTCTGATTGAGCTATTGTGCTAGAAATAGAAGTGCAGCTGCACAAGCAGCCCCAAGTACACACCTGTAGTTTCAGATAGGATTGTACTTGGGGTGGCTAGCCCCATCCCCACCACATCTATATTTATCATGTTAGATTGATTAGAACACATCTCCTCTAGCTGATATTCACCCCTGACAATTTTAGTGCAGACATACCCTCAGTGACTTGCTCTAGTTCAGCTAAGAAATCTCTGGCAGAGAACTGAATTAAACCTGGATCTCCCTAGTCCTATAGTAGGGCCATAACCACGTGACCATTCTCTCTCTCTCTCTCACTCTCTCTCTCTCTCTCTCTATATATATATATATATATATATATATATATATATATATATATATA